TTTTTTTTTTTAAATAATAGAAATCACTTTTCGTAAAAAAAAAAATTTTAATTAAATTTTGAGCGAGAAACAAATCATGGTTTATTCACTCAAATTATTTATGAAGTTATTGATCATCATAAATTAAGTTGAATTTTCATATGAGATTTTCTTATATATTGTAAAAGTATTGCAAGGGCGGCTTTGAGGATGTGTAGGTCGTGTGTCGCACCAGATTCCAAATTATATGGGCAGCACCGATATAATTAATTATATACAAATCTATACTTTTTTGTTAATATGAAGAATTTTTTTAGAAGATAATTTTTTTATCAAGTAAAAGGGAATAATATTTAGGGAGATGCACAAAGAGTTATAAATATTTTTTTTTATTTGGCATGTTATTGAGTAATAAAAAATAAATATTTTAAATTTTTTTTCCAATTAATTTCTTTTTCTTTGAAAAATTTCTATTAGTCAAACAAAAATTATTTCTCTTCTCAACTAATTCTTTTATTACGATGAAATGATACCAACAAAATAGAATTGTTACGTTACAAAATGATAAATTGAAACTAACATTGGTAGTGGGAGAATGGTACTAACATACTCTCTCTCTGTCTCCTGGGTATAAGAAATTTTGACTATGACTACAAATGAAATATGGTAAATAAGATGTTTTGTGTAAGAGAAATGATATTCATCTTCAGTGGGGATGCATTCCCAGTTTATATGGCGTTAATGTGACATTAAATGATAAGTGAAATTAAATAAGTCATTTAATTTCACATAGATTGTGGATGAATAACATTTTTCTTTGTGTAAATGGTCTTCCAAGTGTATAAGCCCTTGTTTGTTTGGATGGAAATTAAAATTTAATAATTAGTGAAATATATGGTTAAAAAATTTATAAAAATTGTGAATCCTATGAAATGTATGATTGAAAAGGAGTTTGAAAAAAATATGAATTTTAAGAAATGGAGATCAAATAAGGGCTAAATTGCTAAATGGATAAATATTATAAGTGTTTTTTTATTAAAATAGATATAGTCACTGTTTGGTATGGATAAAAATCTAAATTTTAATTTAAATCAATGTTAATAATTAATTTTAACCGCCAATTTTGTGGAATTGGAACTCTTCAACCTCATATTTTATCAACTTTTATTAAAATCTACTAAAAATATGATTTTAATCTTCACCGAACATGTGCATACTTTTAAAGGCAAGAATGAAGGTAAATCATCCAAAAGGGTATGTTTGAGCTTCATTTTTCAATTATCATCGCCATGATAAAATGAAGGTATACAACTGCATATAGAATGTTTTCAATTATGTGTAATATGAAAGCAAGAAAATAAGGGTATGTTTGAGCTTCATTTTTTGTATAAAATGTATTTTGGAATAATAAATTGATAAATGTTGTAAAAGGAAAGTAAATTAGGGTTCAGTGTGAATGATTCTTGTACCCCTGCAGCCTTAAATATAATTACCATATGTATCCC